CCACGGCGGGGATCGCACAGACTGTATGCGGGGTACCCCGCCTGCGTGCTCACTCTTTCATTTCCTAACCTCCCAGGAGTCACTTTAGGGAGAAGAAGCAGTGAGACCTCCTGCTGCTGGCACCTCTCAGGGTTTGGAACTTCTGGGGAGAAAGTTGAATTCCGCGCGCCCACTGTGTGCGTGTGGTGTGCCGAACCAGCACACACAGAGCCCTCCCCGGCCGTCACCTCACCTGCTGGCCCGCTTAGCTGTTTTGGGTCACGGCGACACTGTCCGACGGTAGTGTCCGTCTGTGCTAGCTTTCTCACCTCTTTGTGAACTTACATTATGAGCGATAGGTGGGCACATTCGGTGTCCGTCTGCGGATGTCCCTGAAAAGAGTATTTGGTGTGGAGCAGAGGGGCTTCAGGAAGCTTCCCCTTGGTTGTGTTTTGGCGAGATCAGATGAGGGACAGTGTTGGACTGTGCGCTCCACGTGGATTTCAGCCCCGCTCTGCACAAGAAAGGTTAAAAGTAAGCTGTAGCACCAGGAAAGAAAAAATCCAGGAAATGTTAATATCACTATAAAAGGTATTGTTTAAATCTCCCGGGGAATACTTTGCCCTGTGTCAACCGTCGGGTGTTACAGAGCAGGCCGAGCAGCTTGTTGGAGTCGGGGCGGGGCGGGGGGGGGGGGGGGGGGCACCGGCCGTGTCCGTGGAGGCAGACCGACCTCAGGGAGGCTGCGGGGCCATGGCAGACGCTTCGTCGCTGGTGTCAGAGGACTTGGCTATATCTTCTTGGCTCCCTGGGGGGGGGGGATACCTGTGCAGGTGTGGGCAGAGCAGTCGGGGAGCGTGTTTGCAGGGAGTCGGGTGCAGAAGAGAAACCCAAGCCCGGAGTGGCCTCCACGGAGCCAGCTGTTGGGGTTCCAGGCAAAGCACCCATGTCCTTGCCCCTTGTCCCGAGGTGTCTGATGCCGGAACCCACAAGCTGGGTGGGGGTGCTCCCGGGTGGCGTGGCAGTGGACCGGTGTGGCGTCCCTTCCCTCCTCCCACTCACCTCCCGCTCATTCCCCCTCCCTCCACCACTGTCCCTCTCTTCCGTCCTCCCCTTCTTCGTATTCGCCTGTTTGCCCTTCTTCCTGAGCTGCCCTCCCTGAGGGTGCTCCTCCTGGCACGCACCCCAGTCTTTCTGGGCTTCTCACAGCCCGGGTGAGCTTTCTGTGAAGGGGTCGCTCAGGTGAGGGAGGAGCTCACGCTTTCTGAATTTCCCATGCTGTAGTTACGGGTTCAGACTTGGAGTCAGGTGGCTTCGTCTTATGGATGAACATCCTTATTGATGTATTTGGGGGAGTTATTTTACTGTCCTCGAAGCTTATCGTCTAACTGGAAAATGGGGTGACAGTTTTGACCTGGTTTTACTAGAAATAAAAACCCGCTTTTAGTATAAGTCATCTTACACCGAGTTGGGAGCCTGTCATTAAACTGTCCTGCATTCTGGGGAGATCCACCAATCCAGGTTTTCTCTTGAGTGTCCTCTGGAAAGAGTGGTGCTCAAGTCCCCGTGAGCATTTTCAGCCTTGAAGAACGACGGCAGCAGTGCCGGTCATGGGCCCAGCAAGCTAGGGATGGGACGATGGCGTTCCTGTTGGTTGGCTCATTGGGTCCTCACAAGGGACACCGTGTTATTTGGGCCTTCTTGCTCTTCAGTGGATGAGGGGCTGGGGGTGGAGAGATCAAGCAGGAATGGAGTGGAATTGGGCCTCAGGGCTCCATCCTCTTCTCGTGCAGGATGGCCCCCATTTATCAAGAGGTTCCTGTGTGTCCAGCCCCAAACAGGACGTGGTCCCTGCCCTTGAGGCCTCATTGTGCCCGGTTCCTCCTTCTACAACTGGCAGGTGGTGGTGTCTTTGGTGACATGGGTCCAGGCACCTCTGGTTTCAGTGAGACTTAGTGGTTTACCTGTTTCAGGTGAGGCAAAGGTTTCTCAGTGAACATGCGTTCCTTTAAAAACAGGGAAATCATGGCTGTGCCTTGGTCAGGGGAGAGATTTTTCTGCGTCATAAGTGCAAGTATCTTGCTTATTATTATTATTTTTTAAAGCAGTGTGAGCGTGTCCCACTGCCTGTGTGAAGTAGGGACGTGGTTCTCCTGATCTGAGGGCCAGGGTAGAAGCAGGCTGGCTGCATGGGTCCCCGTCTCTCCTAAAGAGAGAGGGGAGTACTGTGGTTTGGGTCCCGCTACTCCTCCTCGGTCATCTCTTGATGACCAACTCTGACTCAAAGGAAAGCCAATGTTGTAATATTCTTAGTGACATGATGATGATGATGATGCCATGTGGGCCTCATAAATATTATTTTATGATCCGGGCCAATCCAGTGTAAATTCATTCTAACATTATGGGTGCTGTTTCAGTAATTATTTGTCAGTTGTAGGGGACCCAAATGGCATCTGATCCTTACTTTAACCAGCTGTGAAAGGGGTTGGGCCAGGTGTCCTTCGGGGCACCATGAGTACTGAGGTGACTCCAGGCCTCTGGAAGTGGGGCAAGGTCTGAGATTTGGGGCCAAACTGAATTCCTTTTTCTCCTCTTCTTCCTCCCGCTCTTGCCCACATATTTCCTCCTCTCCCTTTTGTGCCCAGGCTTCAGAGTTCAGGATCTTTCTATTAGTCCCGCAATTCAGTTGCATTAGGGGACCTGAACAACCTCAGAAGTGGCCTGAGGACCTTCCAGCTAAGTTCCCAGCGCCATGCTTCTCAAACATCACTGTGCCCTTCACCACTAGGGAAGCCTTCCCTGAACAGCCCATTCAGCGGGGGTTGGCAAACTTTTTGTAAAGGGCAAGGCTTTGCAGGACATAGGGCATCTGTTACAACTAGTCAGCTCTGCCACTGTAACAACAGTGATCCCAGACCATACTTAAGGAACGAGTGTGGCTGTTTACAAAAACGGGCGAAGGCTGGGTTTGGCCTGGGGACCATAGTTTCCCAGCGCCCGCTCTAGAACGAGTCCTCCCCCGTGGTCTGTGCTGGTGCTGCCGTCTTGCTGTGTTTGGCTTCCTGACACTTAAGACCACCTCGCGTACTTTGTATTTTTGGCTGATTTTTTATTTATTGTCGGTCACCTCCACTGTAATTAAAGTCCCGCCAGTGTTGCAAGGATTTCATGGTGACCTGTTGCTTCCTGAGCATCCAGAGTAAAGCGTGGCCTGTGGTAGGTGTTCAGGAGGTGTTGAATGAGAAAAACAAACTTATTTGGGAAATGTAAACTGTCTGTGAGTTGGGGTTTTCTGCCCTTGTTCCCGGGTATGTTTGTCATGTTAAATTTGACTTTTTTCTTATTTGTTGTTGTGGTTAGCTCTTTATGTCCACGTCCTCTTCAGCATCTGGGCCCATCTTGGCATGTGTGCCTTTGGAGATGCCCCTTTGGGGAGTCCTGGCCCTCCCGTGTTTGCCATTGATGATGGTGCTGTGGAGGATTTCTAGAACCAGAGGCACACGGTCCTCCCTGTTCCTTCAGTAGTGGGACCAAGGCACGAAGTGACTTTATTCCATTGTTATATGGGAGATTTGTCCAGACTACACTCAAAAGGGCAAAACAATTGCCTTGTGATGCTGCCCAGATTTGGAGCCATCCCAGAGCTGGGAAGCTTGATGTTTCTTGGGTCTGGGACTCTGGGTACCATTCACAGTTCCCATTGTGAGGGATGAAAGCCCATTCACGGGTCCTCGTGGGTCCCAGCCAGCAGCTCCGGCTGCTCTCCTTACAGACCCGTGGCTCCCTCTCATCTCTGCTTGCACACGTTGCACGGGTCCCCTCTTGCCCTGCATATCTGGGGACTGCAATCCTGTTCAGCACGGGGCCCTTCCGTGTGTATGCTTGGGGGTGGGGCGGGACGCCCAAGGGGTCCTGAGCCCTCTGTCTAGATCTTGCTGTCTCCCTGGGAGACAGGACATGGCCACGGGATCTGTGGTGCTTCCCCAGAAGCGGGCGAAGTGGGCAGGTGAACAAGGAGGGGAGATCCATGTCACCCCAGGCCTGGGGGATGGATGGCAAGCCCACATCCAGCAGGATGAGTTGGGCCTGGAAGGATGAATTGGGTAAATGGGGAGGTGAGGCAGGAAGGCATACCTCTAAAAGGACATAGAGCTACAGGTCTGAGGGGGCTGGAACCCGGGACGTGTGGTGGGGGCTGGTGGGCAGGGAGGGACCCAGCTGTGACTGTGTCAGAGGGTAAGGTACACAGTGCTCAGCGGCTTCATTTCCAGATCCTTTTCAGTGCAACATGAAGACCACCTCTCGGCTGTCTGGGGGCATTTCGTTCTTTTTGGTGTGAAGAAAAACAGGGTGTTCAGCTTGCCCAGCACACAATTAGGTCTCCAGACCGGCAAAGTGATCTGAGCCTTACAGCTTTGCAGAAGGACTCATTAGTTTCCCTTGAGTTTGAGGCATTTCATTTTAAGAAGCTCGGCTTTGTGACAACAAAAGTCTTAACAAAAATAGGGGTGTGTGTGTGTGTGTGTGTGTGTGTGTGTGTGTGTGTGTGTGTGTGTGTGTGTGTGTGTAGGTGTAGACACACAGCCATGCAGTCGCATTGTATGAAAAAGATGATAAAACACACGTCCCTACAAATAAAATGCCACAGTAGAATTGCCGGGGTGTGACAGTTGCAAGCAAGACTTTGGATTGGCAATCGACTGAAAAGTTTTTTTGTACGATATTGTTCAATACTGGGGTTCGGGTGTGTGTTTACAGCCCCCCAGCTTGCGCAGACTCAGCGGGGCAGCTTCCACTGGGTGCTTCCTCCGGTCCACATCTCGGACACTCAGTCTCCTCTGTGCATGAGGCTGCTTCCTGGGTTCCCGGGCATGGGCAGAGGCGGACGCCCGCTGGGGCCATTTGCAAACCAACAATGGCCTCTCCCAGGAATGAACGGGCCGCCACTGACCTTTGTTGGACGTTCTCTCCTTTTCCTCCTTCCCATCTGTCTCCATCTTCTCTCTCCTACCTTTCTGCAGAGCCACCAACCAAATACCAAATCTCCCAACCTGAAGTTTACGTGGCCGCGCCCGGGGAGTCGCTAGAGTTGCGCTGTCCGTTGAGAGATGCCGCCACGATCATTTGGACTAAGGATGGGGTACACTTGGGGCCCAACAATAGGACAGTGCTTATTGGGGAATACTTGCAGATAAAAGGTGCCACACCTAGAGACTCCGGCCTCTATGCTTGCACGGCGGCTAGGCCGGTAGACAGCGAGGCTGTCTACTTCATGGTGAATGTCACAGGTGAGTTGGCCTGCGAGCCCTCCGCGCTCTCCCCTCTGTAGCCGTTTTCTGGGTCAAATTGTATTGGACAAGCGAAATCATAGTGGGAGCTGCTAATTGGATGCCACGCACAGAGCTTCATAGTTTGTTATTGATCTGTTTTTGAAGTTCTTCCATGGGACCAGCTCAACCAGAGAGGCTGGTCGTTAAAAATGACAGGATTCTCATGTGCAAAAGTAATATTTTCCTCTTAAGACAGTCCACTTTTATAGAAGTAAAAACACATCTTCAACCCCCTTCCCTCCGCCACCCATACTGCTGGCATCCTTGGCATTTAGAATCCAGGACTGAAATTTTTGATGTGGAAGATTTTGGATTCCTTTTATTAAAATGTGAGTGTCTCTCCTTTATTTTTCTTCCGTGCAGTTAGGGGGAACTGCACGGACCCCCTTTGTGGCCGAGTTTAAAGGTTTGCTTTCAGAAGTTAGTAAACGGATGGAAGGCCACACAGGGGCTAAGTTTGGCTAGGGACGAATTCCCTTCTTGAAGGGGGTCCTGAGAACTGAAAGGCGGTGTTGGAAAGAATCTTTGGATGGGTCACAACACAATCAGTAAATCTGTTGGGGACTTGAATGCTGTTTGAAGCTTAAAATCCAGTTTCGATATATCCAACTTGACAGCATGTTTAAATAACGTGAAAGCAGAAAGCTTTGAGAATCATAATACAGACCAACTGTCATCACGGAGAGAAAATTTAAGCCATTAAAACCATCTTTGCTAAACACGGTCTCGGACTTTTTGCGTGGGCTCCTCCCGGGTTGCGGAAGGCCCTCTCCAGAAGGACTGAATTGTACGTGATTGCAGCCTTTTGCTTTGCACAAACCACATCCATGGCTATATTCTTTTGAATACAGATGCCATCTCATCCGGAGATGACGAGGACGACACGGATGGTTCCGAGGATTTTGTCAGTGAGAACAGTAACAACAAGAGTAAGTAGTGACCACCTCGGAAGTTTCCGGAGCAAGCAGAGCCTGGTGGGGAGTCTGGACTCTAACCTGTCATCTCGTCCGTTCTTCGGGATACCGTGGCCTACAACCCACAACCCTTGCCTTTCTCCGCTGTGTCTACTCTCCTGACTTTCGAATCTGAGAATAAACCAGTGCTCCTGTACACCCTTCTCTACTGTCGGTCCTTTCTTATTGTGTCAGAAGCCACTCTCTCTGGGAAGCGGTCACGATTTTCCTTTCCTTGATTTTCTTTTTCTCTTTGGTTTCTCACGGTTTGGAGACGTCACCCGAGTCGAACCGCATACCATCTCCTGGTTTGCTTTGACAGTGCGGGGCTTAACTCTGGGGTTCTCCGCTGGGTGGGGGGGATTCTCCTCCTTCTCCCTCCCCTGGGGGACACTGGGCAATGTTTGGTTGTCTCAACAGGGGAAGGAGGGATGCCAGGAGCATCCAGCGGGAGGAACCAGGGTGCTGCTAATAAACATCCTGCAATGTACAGGACAGCCCATAACAAAGAAGGATCTGGTCCAAGATGTCAGAAGTGTTGTGGTTGAGAAACCGGGGCCGTTTTAAACACTGCTGTGTGCCGAGAGGAAATACGGGGAGTAGTGTGCCTTACTTTGCAGGCAGCGATAGGGAAGGGGGCCAGCAGGTGCCGCTGGCTTTTTGTAAAGGCAGTTAACACTGAGCAGTGACACATGGGTGGCCTTGGTGTAGAAGCACGTGGCCTCTCTACCTCCGTCACTTGGGCAAGTAATTTAACTTCTGTGCCTCAGTTTCTTCAGCTATAAAATGGGAATAGTTACAGTGTCCGTTGGGGTTGTTAACGAGGATTAGATGAGTTTGTACAGCGCTCAGAAGAGTGTGTTTGTTTGTTCGAGAAGATAAAATAGAGCCTTCTGTCTTTCCGGTAACATGGCTTGTTGTGTTCCCAAATTGATTTTAGACTGGTCACTGGCATTCTTTGCTCAGGTGTTATATTCTGCGTGTTTTCAGAAGGGTTTCATCAGTTTAATAAATTTAAACAAGGCCTAAATAATAAGACAATTAGTTATTAAAAGAGGCCTGGGGCTCTTTAAGGGAAGACGAGAAAATCAATGCTGTTAGGGACCTGGGATAATGTGTTAAGTGGGGAAATGCATTTGTCCCTGACTCTCCTAGCAGCTTCGGCAAGAAGGGAAATGTTTTGGGCTATAGTTTTCACTGTTTTGGCAAGAGAAAACTTAGGGCCTGGACCACTAGCGTCAGCATCAGCTCTAAGAACTTACTAGAAATGAAAATCGACACGTCGATATGCCTTGAGCAGGGGTTTACTGTTAGAGCTCTTATTTATAAAACAGTGGGTGAATGAAACTGTCTTCTGCTGTGATTCATGCCAACCTTCTAACAAAGTTATTACTATTTAGTAATAAAACCCTGGTACATCAGAAGACATCACTCATTCCCTACTATTAGTTCTTTGGCTTTAGCAGGGGAGGCAATAAAAGACCCTGCTTTGGAGTCCTGCTTTGGGCAAGCTCTGTGCTGGTTGCTGGCTCAGGCAATGCCCCCCCCCCCCAAGCCACATAAGGTAGAGAAAAGTATTATTCCTGTGTTATTGATCGGAAATTCATGATTCAGTGAGCAAAAGGCAAAACTGCCATTCACTTGTAGGCCTGTTGCATGTTGAATCACAGCGCCCCTCTCCCAGTCCCCAGGGTGGTGAAGAGGGTGCAGTGTTGTTTACAGCCCTCAAGTGGTGCCCCCACGTGGGATCTCAGACTCCGGCGGCATCTGGGTTGTGCTGACATGTCTGCAAGCTGCATTGTCCTGCTGAACCAAGTCTCATAGCATGTTGCCAGGAATACTTGGGAAGCAGTACAATGTAACAGCAAGGTATAGGTTATGTAACAAGTAGACCGAGTGAATTGAACCTCTTTCTGTTGATTGGGAAGGATTACCTGCCACAGACCTCCAGGTTTTCCTCCTGAACACTAGTCCCATCTTCCCAGTGCCTGTGCAGACGGGCCAGGGAGTGGAGTGCATTTAATGAATGCCATGCCTTCACCCTGGGCCCAGGGTTCTTTGTAATTAGCTCTTGAATGACACCAAGTCTGCCCCACGATGGGTGCTCTGCAGTGATTAAGGGCTGGTGTTAGCTGTACCAGGGAGATACTGCTGTCGGGAACTGCCTCTGTTTGGTGCCTGTGAAACATTAGATGCGATTTAAAGTGATAGCGGTTCTTAGCTGGCTACTTGGCCTCTGCCATCTGTTAGTGTGATTAGGCTGGTCTGATTCACAGGTGCAGCCTGGGGCAGCGGAGATTAAGCAGCTGTGGCCTGTGTGGACAGAGGAATGCCATGGCCAGGGTAATTGGCAAGGCGGGGAATGGGATGTTGTCATTAAAACAATTTTTTGCCACCTCCAGTGTCAAATGCCTGACCTGATTAATAGGGAAAATTGTAGAAACGCCGAATTCCATGCATTTTCAGCCACCTGGAAAACACCCATGTGTCCAGATTGATTCCTCTGGTGCCTTCTGATGGTCTGGAAATGCCACTGGGGGGTGTTTGAAAGTTCCTCTTCAGTGAAGTTAACAAATGATGCTCCAGTGATCTTCTGCTGACAGTCACATTTCTGCGCTTGTCTGAAGTTTTTTTTTCTTCTTGGGTTGGTAGATGTTAGTTCTGTAGCCGATGGCTTGAAAAATATATTGCAGGTCGTTCTCTCTGCTGGTATGCTAGATTTTTGTTTATTTGATTTTGTGGTTAGCTATAAGGCGGCAAGCTTATCTGCCTGGTAGAGTTCTTAAATTTTGTACAGAGTACAAAAAGCATGGCAGGCAAATACAAGGGCAAAAATAAGTCCAAAATTAAGGCAAGATTGTTGAAGTTTGGCCATGGAAGTAGGTCTGATCTGATTTTTTTACAGGGATGTTTCACAATATTCAGGGTTGACTTTAACTCTCACACCATCATACAAGACCCAGCTCAGCTCAAAAGTGAGCTCCCCTGCAGGGATTTCCTCGCTCACATAAGTAGATTGAGTGGCTTGATTTTGAAAGTTCACGTGTTCCGTTCTCTGACATCACGGGCCGTATCGCATCGTGTCTCAGACCCGCCTTTCCGGGTAGACCACTTTGGGAGGCAAGGACTAGCCTGGATGTTGAGGGAGTATTCTGTGAAATTACAGTCCTCATGTACATCTTTCATGGGTCTCATGAGAAGCTGTAATGCTCAGGTCTGGTCTGTGCCTTAGTGCCTTAAGAGAATAAGCTGGTGTTTCCCAAAGTATATCCCTTTGGAACCCTAGTCCAGACTAATTCTGTGCCAAGGAGTTGTATTTTGAAATGAATTTGAGAAATACCTCCTCCTAGGACCCTTTTCTCAGACTTACAGTGTCCGTCAGTCAGCATACTAAACTCTGCAGTGTTCAGTGGTAAAACATCCGTTTAATTTTGGCCTTTCCCAGGGTTTTCCAAACTTACTGACCCTAAGACCTTCTTTAAAATACAGCGTTCATTCACATATCCTGTTGCACATGCTTTGAAAATCCCTGCAATGGGCTGATTTGATTGACCTGACTTTTCTCTTGCCTTTTAAGTCAAGTCCTTCCCTCACAGATGTGAAGGGCATTCTCAGGTCATATTTTAGCAGCTGACTAGCTGATGACCTCACACCTTACCAGCACTAGACGTTTCCCTGAGCGGAACAATCCTGTGATGTCATTGCAAGCCTGGCTGCCAGGAAATAATGCTGCTTACATATGCCCTTTAGTGAAACAGACTTTCTGGGACAGAAAGTTGCGATTTCAAATGCTAATTTTTGAAATGCATCCAGGTTGAGGGTTTTGAAAGGTTCAGAGTTTCTACTTCAGCAGAGAAAGCATAACTTAATTAGTCCTTGCCTCCCCTAGATACAGGTGTCTTAATGGGTTATCTGGCAACTAATAAGTAGACATGCATGTCCATTTTTTTTTCTCGAGTGATTTTTTATTACCTCAAGCTTGTGTTTAAGTGATTAATATTTCTGAAAAGCTTGAGACTTAGTTCTCGGGAAGATCATGATTGACAAAATTCAGGTTAACTGCTAAACTAGAGGGATAATCACAGCAAGGCAGCTTTATCAAGATTTTTGCTCCCGGAGTGGTTCTTTCTCTTGAGTGAAGAGAGAGACAAGGCAGTTTTCTATTTTGGTTTCATTCCTGTTGAGACCTGCAAGTACCCATACTCTGTGTCAGGGAGAAAGGCAATTTTTTTGGAACTGGCTAGGGAAAATGAAGGAACTTGGCCTGAGATTCCATACTCCTTTTGTTGATTAACCTGCTGATAACAACAGTTTACCGTCACCTTTGGTCTAATTGGGATTTTTACTTAGTAGAGATTATATCTAAGTTGGTAAATGTTGTGTTGCAGTTTCCAGGAATTAAAAATAATAGTAATAATAATAATAATAAACCCAAAGCACACAGGCTTCCTGAATTTTTTTGACATTCCTTCGTAATGAAAACCTCATCCTAAATTGGTTTGGGTGTTTTATCACAAAAGCCAGGGATGGTGTTCTGTCCGGAAGGTTGGATTGAATTATCTCTTTCTTGGCCTCCACTGTGGTCAACCAGCATAACGAGTAAGTGGAGGGTTTTCTTTTGAAGGCAGATCCTAGGAACCTCCCACGGGGCAGCTGGTCTCCCGGTGGACTCAGGCATTTCAGATGAGGGTCACTTGCCTGGCTTGTTTTAATGTGTTTCTTATCAAATGCCTCACTGGTCAGCAAGTTGTTGTTTTTAATGAGATTCTCAAATAAAGCCCGCTGCCCCCATAATCATGCACACACTCACATCGCTGTATTTTGTTAGATTTGTTTTCTCTTAATTTATGCAAAACTGAAAACAGACGAACCTCAGTCTACTGGAAGGATGGGGGTGGAGCTCAGAGACATCTTCCCACCCCCACCCCAGTCAGGGTCAAAGCATTCAAATGTCCTGATTAGTGGTATTTTTAAAGGCCCTAATTATAGACTTAAGACAGAGGCCTTAGTGGGGCTTTAGGGAGTTTGTGAGACTTAATCTAGGAGCTGAAACAGGCTGTGTTTTTTTATTTTTGCATCAATAAAAATACAGTTGGCAGTCATCAGGGTCCACAGCTCACATAAATCTTGAACTTTTGACTTAATTACCATGGGAGAGTTCAAAGGGCAGCCTGGAGTGGTTGAAAGAGCATTGCCCAGAGAGCTGGAGGCCTGGGTCTTGCCTCAGCCTGGCCTTGGCCATGCAACCTTGATCAGATCACTTGACCTTTCTGGGTGACATTGATCACATCAGCCGTTGGACCAGATGGTGACTGAGGCTTATTGGTACAGTGATAATATGATTCCATGTTTCCTTTAAACCACTGGGCTGTATTCTGTTTTTGATTTCAGAAAGAGAGGAGACCATAGACCTTAGGTGTCCATGTTGAGATACATACTGGGGCATGTAAGGGCTTCTGTAGGGGCAGCCCATGTTTTTGATTGCATGGTCAAAAGAAACCCTCTAATCCTACCATGTGTTGACAAAATCATTATCTGCCTAGAATACCTGACGGAATGTTAGGACATGGAGGGACCTTACCATACCAGAACATTCAGTTCAATTCCCTCATTTTATAGCTCAAGCTTTTAGTAGTTGTCCATCTGGTACATTTGTCCATCTCTCTGTATGTCCATCCGTCCATCCGTCCGTCCATCCATCCATCCATCCATCCATCCATCCATCCATCCAATAAACACTTGAGTGCCTACTCCATGGGCTGAAGGCGACTCAAGCTGTACCCTTCAGATGCTCTACTCTTACTGGTCAGCAGACATTGAAAAGGATACATCTCAGTATGGAGACCCCCTGGTGATGGAAATACGTAAATGACAAAAAGGAGGCCTAGCAAAGGAATGTGATGAATCTTCACTGTGGGATGGAGGTGGTAGGTTGAAGGAACATTGAGGGAAGTTTTTGTGGGGTTATACATCTCTGTTTAACCAGCACATCTTAAGAGAATACTGCTGTATTAAAGTAAAATTTTATTAGCATTTTCACTAATATACAATAACTGTTTCAGTGTAGAAAATGATACTGAGTAGGTATAGTATTCCTTGACGGGATTTTACTTATTTATTTTTTGCCTGGATTTTACTGTTCCTTTAAGCTCATTGTTAGTATTTAATGACTAAGAGAGCATCATTCTTTTGCTACGTGTTACATCAGAAGATCTGAGAATATCGGAGCAGAAGGGACCCACCTATCCTATAGGTCAACTTGCTTACCTCTGATTTAGTAGAATTCATTTCTTCACGCCATCCGAGATTTCTATCACCATTCCTTTTCTATGGATTGACTTTAAACTCACTCCTCCTACATCCCTAAGATTATGCCAGGGAGGATCCATTAAGTAGATGCTCAGAGACTCAGAGACTTCTTTGAAATGTGATGTAGCCTTGGCCTGCAGGTTTCATCTTTTATAAAATTGTTGAGGAAAGGTTTGTACTGAACACCTACTATGTGCAAGGGCCATTTTGCTTTTGTAAATCATTAATTTGTTAGGTGAGTTCCTTCTGCAAGTGAAAGTTAACCCACGATATGAAAAGAGGAGCCTGGTCCTGGTCTCCCACCAGCTGCGTTGTTGTTCTTGGGGGGTGTGTTGGGGGGGTAGTGGCTGGCATTTCCGTGTGTCCAGACTGCCAAAATGGCAGGAAATATTGAATGCAAAGTTCGTGGAGGACATGAGGCCACCGATGAAGAAAGTGCAGCTAGGGCTAGTCCTACAGTCTCATTATTTTTCTAGACCTTTCAGGCTCCACATAAAACTAGGTTATTTCAGGAGGAGCCATTATAAAATAAGAATTCCTCCCCTCTAGCATCATGCGCATTAAAAAAATTCATGAGCCAAAATCTTCAAGGAAAGTCTGGTCACAGAAGTGTGTTGTCCTGTGTGACGTGAGTGGGACTGGGCAGAGCATTGGGGTGGCCCACCACTGCCACACAGACAAGCTGGAAAACTTGGCTCAACGGCTTTTCTGTCGAGTCACTATTTACAGGTATTCAGGAAAAGAGTGTTGCAGATGTAGGTTTCAAGGGGGTAGCCGTGTAGGTGACCATTTTCTACTCTGTTGATTAGATTTCACAGTGCCCCGCCCACCTGGCATCCCTGCGATTTTAGATGACAAGCTGGGTGCCCATACCCTGCTTCGTGGCCGTGCATCTATTTTGCACGAGCAGATTTTATAGGTGCAGTTTTGACGATTGAAATTTTACCCCAGGGAAGTGGCTTCCTGCCAGAAATTCCAGCAAAATTCTTTTCGCCCTTGTCCTTAAATCATTCCTTAGGTGCCAAGACAAAGGTGCCGGCTGTCAGTGTGATGTTGCCACAGGCCATAACCGTGCGGGCTCATGTGGTCTGGGGTGATCCCTGTGTGGGTTACAGCCTCCCTGACAGCCTCGCTCCGGCAACATTCCTAGTTCCTTCAACTAAATCTGACTTTTTAACATTTTAGGGAACGTACAAATCATGCCTGATGGAATGTAAGCACGTATCTGTTGATTTCTTTTATATGAAAATGGAAAGACATTCCAGAGGATCAGCTCAGCTGTAATTGATGCTATCTCAAAGAGTTACTACATTAATATTTAGCTAATTCGTATGAATAGGCCATTGTGTTTACTTAAACAAATGACATGAGTATAGACACCTGACAGCATGAGGTATGCTTTTCATTTAGGTCAGATTTATAAAAGTCTTTGTGTAGCGACAAAGCTCATTATTTATTTTGTGCTCTTAATGGTTTCTTTTTAGTGGCTGTGCTGTGGATGGATTTTTCTAAGTAGAAGCTTTTAAAATGAAAGATTATTGAAATTGTTCCAGTATATGCCAGGCTCTGGGAGTCTTGTGATGAATAGCAATCAAGTACTCCCCAGTGAGCCCTCACAAGAATGGGTGTGTTTATGGGCATTCGACACCCAAAGCCAAATGGCCACCAAGTTGCCTACTCATTGCAGATACAACTGGATTCAGAGGAAAGCATGCAACCCTGTTCTTATTCCCTTGGCTCTCCTCCTGCCCCTGCTCTGGCCTTTCTTTCTCTGGTACACATGACCGCCTCAGTTTTGCCTTGCCTGCAAGGTCTTGGCATTGTGTAGACACCATCTACATCTACACTGATACTTAGATAAACAAGGATAAAGAAGATTCAGCATGCCCTTGTTAAGAAATCTCAGCTCCACCTTTTATAGTCAGGTTTCAAGAGCAAGGGTGAGGCAAACAAGGGTAGGTGTTTTGAACGCAGTTTTTCCAATTCCTCATTCTGCCATGAGAGTCTGGCTGTTAAGTGAAGGGGATTGTTAACCCCCGCCCGGGAGCGAGCTCCGTCATCCACAGAATAGAGGAGGAGACCTGTAAATTCACATCAGAGACAAAACCCCTGCCTGGACCCGTTTGTCTCTGGTTTGTGAAATGTGTGTGCCGCTGCTCAGTCTAACCCTCATCAGTGGTAAACACAGTTATGAATCAGTCTTCTAGAATTTCAGTGTTATAGAATGTTCTAGAAGGTGCAAGGCCCTGTTGATGGATGCTTTAGGGAAATTTTGGCCGCCCGTTTGCTAAGACAGAAACATACATGTGAAAAGTTAAATAGCTGTACGACATTTGAGTGAAACTTTTGGGCAGTAATCAAGAAGGCAGTGTGCCTTTGGCAAGGGCTGGCTGTCCTGGACTCCGGTCTTAAACATCAGAGTGGTTGAAGGCATGGATTTCGACCCCTTGGAGAAGCTGGTTCTTACCAGCCATGGAGAGTAGGGGCAAAGACAGTGGGCTACGGAATCAGACCGCTTGGCTCAGATCTGCCTGCCCTTCTTCCTAGCTTTGTATCTTCCCTGTGCCTCAGTTTCTTTGTCTGTGAACAAGGGTTATAATAATGCCTTTCTCCTCAGATTGGTGTCAGGATTAATATGCTAAACATGTAAGAGTTTTTAGAGCTTGGTTTGGCAAATAAGAAGCCCTCAGTCAATAGTGCTCATTAGCCGCTGTTGGCAGGCATGAAGCATTTACAGTGGTATTCTGGATCGATGCTGTGGTTCCTACTTAGATAAAATGTCCTTCGTTTGGCAATTTAAAAAGTTATCTCTTCTCTTGAGTTTAAAGAATCACTTGTATCCATGACTTTGCAGGCCATTTAGAGGGCTCACCTTCACATAACATGTAATTGATAGCCTTCTGTTAAGTTTTACCTGTTTAGACGCGGTGGTAGAATTATGGCATTCACAACCACTGAAAAATCTTTTGTCCATTTAAAAAATTAAAACATAGTTAGTGATAGGGCTTTCTGGTTTGTCATATAAGGTACTGGGAAATTAATGATGCCTCCCTGAATAATTTATCATCTTAGGATGGTAAGTTGTATTATTGATTATTCTTTACAGCTTCCGTGGCTAAACTGATCAGGCTTCGAGCACACCTTGTATGTGTATGTGATCATTTGCTAGGTGTGGTGATCTAAAATGATTCATTTTGGAGGACTTAGCTGTTGTTAGTTACTGTATAAAGTAGCATTTGAAAACATGATTCGCCATGAATTTATATTCTGGCCCTAGGAACAAGGGAGAGAAGGTACCTCAAACACTTTTTCCCCCATTAAGAGACACAAACTAATAAGCAGTCCATCTCCAGGGACCTTCTGCTAGGCCATCTGCTAGACTTCAGAAAACTTTTTTCCTAATGTAAATACTACCCAAAGATTTTTGAGAATGTTAGCTCGCTCACTTACAAAGTAACATTATCTTCCCTGTTATGGAAATGAAGCTGTCCTCTGTACATTTTAACCGTGTTTTCCACCCCAGGAGCCCCGTACTGGACCAACACAGAAAAGATGGAAAAGCGACTTCATGCCGTCCCTGCAGCCAATACTGTCAAGTTTCGCTGTCCGGCTGGGGGAAATCCAGCACCAACTATGCGGTGGCTGAAGAATGGAAAGGACTTTAAGCAGGAACATCGCATTGGAGGCTATAAGGTAGAATAAAGTTTTCAAAATGTTCTCTTTCTTACGTTTTTATGAATCTCTTTTTTAAGTAGTTGAAAGGTAGCAGGAACCGGATGGAAATATATATATATTTTTAAATCAGTTGTTCTCGGGGTGCCTGGGTGGCTCAGTCGGTTAAGCGTCTGCCTTCGGCTCAAGTCATGATCCCAGGGTCCTGGGATCGGGCCCCATGTCGGGCTCCCTGCTCTGTGGGAAGCCTGCTTCTCCCTCTCCCATTCCACCTGCTTGTGTTCCCCCCTCCTGTCAAGTAAATAAATAAAATCTTAAAAAAAAATAAATCAGTCGTTCTCCTCATCGGTCATTTCCACAGTTGATCTTTTAAAACTGTTTTCCTGGACTTGCACATGCTTTAAAAGCACAGTCCCCGTTGGCATTGTTCTTTATGCGAGAAGAGTTTAATAACAGGAGGGTAGAAAGTTGAGAGTCTGTTTTCTATATGCTTTATAGTCTATAAAACTAAAACTGAAGCAGAATTGGAGAAGCGTCAGTATACTTGCCCTGTTTGAGCAGGGTTGTGTGAGTATGGATGGACTTGGCTCAGACGCTGGGTATGAAATAGTGTTTATGAAGAGAGAATGCTTCCATGGTGACAGGCCATCTCTGTCCTCCGTCTACAAGGCTCTGGAGAGCCCATCACAGAAGGTGGTGAAGTGTAGTCTCCCCCCTCTGGGGGAGGTGGAGCTTGACAGCCGTCTCCCTAAAGAGGCCTGTAAATGCCCGTTCAGGCTCTTGTTCATCCAGTCAGTGGACATTGATGAGCATCCTTGGGGGCAGGCACCCTCGGAGGGCTGGACAGCACACAGCCTTAGCTCATGGGGCTTCCTCGTCCTGAAGGGAAGACAGACCAGAGAGCCGTGATCTGAGTGGGCCAAAGTCAGAAGAGCATGTTGTCCTGTGGGCGTGCAGGGAGAGAGGATGTTGGCTCTTGGGATGGCTAAGGATAACAGAGGTCAGGAAGGGAACCTGGGCTGAGTTTGAAGGAAGGGTGTCTCGGGAAGAGAGACATGGGAGTCTCTCTGCACTATTTAGTATGAAAGGGGAGGCCTTGAGGAATGTAGTGTATGAGGAAGGCTGGAGGAATTTGACTATGACATTCTTTGGTCCGTTTGGATAGCATGAGTCCGTGAGTCAGTGCATTGGTTACTTATTACTGTGTAACAAATTCTCCCAAAGTGCAGTAGCTTTAAACAACATTTTTTTATCACAGTTTTCCAGGTGTGGCTTAGTTGGGCCTTCCACGGCGAGGTCTCTCGTAGGACTAAGATTTCAGTTATGTCTGGAGTCTCATTTGTAAGATCAGCTGTGGGGACAGACCTGCTCCCAGTCTCATTCCCGGGGCTGTTGGACTCACTTCTTTGCAGGTTGTTGGGCTGAGGGCCTCAGTTCCTCACTGGCTGTGGGCTGGAGGCTGCCCTCAGTTCCTTGCCCAGTGGGCCTCTTCATGTGGTAGCTGGCCCCCCTCAGGGAGGGCAGAGGAGAAGAGGTAGCGTGTGAAGAAGAAAAGAGTCACAGCCTTTGGTAACCTAATCATGGAAGTGACCTCCGACTACTTTGGCTGTTTTCTGTTATTCAGCAGATCATTAGGGAAGGAGATGAATTCCCCAAGGGCATGGACATCAGGAGACCTGGGATCAGCTGAGCCATCTGGGCAACCTTCAGGGGGACGCTCTAGACTGGACCCCAGGTTCTGAAGAACCAGGTCAAAGAGGGTTTCTTGGTAGATGGACTTTTCTGCTACAGCTGTGTCCACAACACCCCGACGACACTTGAGAGGGCACGTGAGCCCCGATCTCATCACTGCTGTGGTTCATTGGGCCTCCTCTCTATAAAAAAGTGCCCCGGAGCCCTTTTCTGAAATACCCTACCCAATTCTCATCTTTAAAAGGGTTGTTTTCTTCTAAAAAATGGTTGACTTTTGTTTTAACATTTAAAAATATCCAGAAGCCAAAACCCAGAGGACAACAACGGGGAAAGCCTAGGAGTGAATTTCTAAGCGTGGACGTGGGGCAATTTGCGTGTGCGACAGATGTGAGGTTTATCTGCTGTGAGGTGGGTGCCTTGGAAGCTGTGGAAATAGACACGCTTGGCCTGTCTTTCACGACTCCTGTTTGTTGGTGGGAGCAGAAGGCAGAAAGGTGCTTTGTCTCTTTGCTCTGAGGTCAGTGCTTACACCAGGCACCATGAGCTGGGAAGATTGGCTTGCTTTTTTTTGTAAAGGCTGATAAGACAAAGATTTCCTTACGTGGGTGCTGGTTGGAAAGGAGGAGTTAAAACCACTACAGTTGTGGCCCTGGGGATTGTTCTAACCACCAAATGCTCTCCGGGAACGTAATTGATGCAGTTCTAATGATTTCATTTCAATACAACCAAAGTATAAGAGTGGTGGTCAAAATCCTGGCGGTTAACGAGTTTCCTCATTTAAGACAGCCTTGGAAAAAAGTAAAAAGAGTTGATGAGCCTCCAGAAACTCCTGGTCTCAAAATAAATAGGACCAACATCATTATTATGGGTAAGGAGCTTTTTGCAAATCTGAATTAGTGATTATAAATGAGCTAGAAGACTAAGGGTGCCTGATGAGGAAAAACTGCTTGATTTTTAGCAGGTGCAGTTCAGTTTTAATCACTGAGGGCAACGTTCCACTAACCGAAGAGCGCCCGGGTTCTAAAAGCAAAGTGGGGAAACCTTTCGCAGAGTACCTTTAACCTGTTCGAGTGGAGGCATAGACCAAAGGATTGTCATTTCATGTTGGAGCCATTTCTGGAGTGAAAGAGAGTGGGGATTTGAGTGCATGGGAACAAAAAATCTGAAGCATATTTTGCTATAGGGGTGCCTGGCTGGCTCAATCGGTAGAGCATGTAATGCTTGACTGGGGGTGTGGGTTCGAGGCCCACATTGAGTGTAAAGATTCCTTAAAAAACAAGATCTTGTAAAAAGATAAAATATATTTTGCTGTTAAAAAAAAAAGATCAAGGAGGGGGGAGAGCATTGGAACCTTTGGAAGGCGGTGTGCTGGCTGGTAGTGAGGAGTGCACATTTCTGGTCCTGTTGGACTTCCTCTGGAGAAGAGACCATGGCCATGCCTGAGTGCCCTGGGGTGTGGTGGGGGTGTCAGTCCATCAAGCGCAAAGGTGGTCAACCTGGGTTGAGTAAGGAGTTTTTACAGCAGTTGTGGTATAGGACATTGATTTGGGGGATACTGGTTCCCTCAGGAATTCTGTCGAGCCCCACGGGCTTCTGGGATTTGAAAGGGAAAGAGATCTCTCATCTCCTGGGAAAACATAGTTACCTACAGCATAAGCCTTGCTAATGATGTGTTAGACGCAACCCAGGCCCCCAGGTCATGAAGTCCTGGGTGGTCACAGAGGCCAGCAGCCCCACCCCCACCACGAGTCCAAGCCCCCTGGCTGGTGCTTCTCCAACATTCGGTCTGAGGGAACCCCCCCCCCCCGCTGCAAAGCAGAGACCCCATTGACATGCGGACAGCCCCATGTCCAAATGTCCCTCTCCCCTGACTTGCATCCCTTTGCCACTGTATATAATGAAGAAGCGAAGTGTCAAGTTTTCCAAGATGTGTTTTTCCAGAAAGCAAGACCTGAAAGTTTCTGCAAACAAATATGTGTTATTTCTGTGATTTTTTTTTTTTCCTTCATAAATCTCATTCCATAAACCATGGTCGCTCTGTCTGCCTAGCTCAGCTGTCGGTCTAGCTCTTTCTACCTGTTTATGGATCAGGCACCTTGGCTCTCGTCCACTGTGTTACAGCTTGTTTTGAAATGGTGGCCAGTGAAGGGCGAAGGGAACCTGAAAAAACCCAAAACAAAATCAAAGAGAATTATGAAATGGGACAGAAAGCTCCTTTTAATTAAAATGACCAAGAGAGCTCTTTGGTATGCTGTTGTTCAGTCTTATTTATCAAAGAACTCATGCTGAGCCTTCCTTAGGTGATTTAAGAGTCATATTATTGTTTTTCTTAGTATGTGGGCAAAGGCTGGGTGGATGTTATTATTTATGGTGATAAAGGTTGACCTGAAGCATAACTGTATCTCCCTAATTGTACTCCTGCCTGGGCTCGCTCTTTCATCAATCTTGACTTGGGCAAGTTGTTGAAGCTCTTCTTTTAGGTCACCTATCCTTAAAATGAAGTTTGAATGGATAGTCTTGAACATCTGATCCCTTCCAACTGTGATTTAGTAGCATAACTACCAACCATTTTTTTATCCTAAACAATAGCACAGATTTTTTTTTTTTTTTTTTAGGACGAGGTTACCAAAAGGCTAGATATTTCAAAGGGCTCTGAACAGTAATTACCATTTAATGCAGAAAAGCAAGAGGACCGAGGTAATTAATAGACCACCTCAGGGGCGCCTGGGTGGCTCAGTCCTTAGGCGTCTGCCTTCGGCTCAGGTCATGGTCTCAGGGTCCTGGGATCGAGCCCCGCATCGGGCTCCTTGCTCCGCGGGAGGCCTGCTTCTCCCTCTCCCACTCCCCCTGCTTGTGTTCCCTCTCTTGCTGTGTCTCTCTCTCTGTCAAATAAATAAATAAAATATTTAAAAAATTAAAAAAGAAATAGACCACCTCAGTTCCCGACTTCATTCCTAGGTAGTGACTCAAGCGTAGAGGGGAAGAGTATTCTTAAAAAACTGCCTTTCATGCCGCTTAGTAACTGCCAAAGAACCAAGAGAGATCACAGGATCCAGCACTCCCCTCCATCTGGCTGGGGGACGGGCACGAGAGGACATGGCCTCTGGCCTCCTGGAGGGGAGAGATCCTGTGGACCCCTGAGCAGGGTGAAGCATCACCCGCTCTGGACTGTCAGTTTCCTGGTATGTTTCAGGCCCAAGAAAAGATGAGGTAAAACTTGTTTTTCATAATCACAACTAAACTGGTGGTTTTGCTGGGTAGGTTCATTAGGTTTACATTTTCCAGGTTACTTAGATGTCATATTAGAGACTTTTGATTAAATGTTATGC